TTGATAATCTTTTCTTAAGAGAAAGAAGGAAATAATTAGAAAATCTTATCAGTTTAATGTTTGTGTAGGGATTTTGATGTTCTAAAAATTGTTTTTAAACTTTCTTCACTTTTTAGTTTTTTAACACATGCTCTGGAAATGAACAACTTAATATGGAAAATCCTTCATTTACATCAACCCCGATTTGTGGGCAGAAAGTTCTCATTACCACTCCTCTTCATAAGGAAACAACCCCCAAAGATCAGAAGGAAAATGTAGGGTAAGTGGGTGCTAATCATTGTGTTAGAGAAAATGGGAAGCATAATTTTGGTAGTAGATTAGCTTTTTGTCCATTTATGCATGTGTCATAATCCCTATCCATGTGGGACTCAAATTACAATGTAATAATAACCTTATGTTTTATCCCTAGAATACTAAAAAAAAAAAAAAAAACTCAGCTAAATGTAGCCTAAAACTTTAATTTCAAGCAAAATAATGTCTTTAGTTATTTTTCTACATTATCTCGTTTTTTGTTTTTTTTTTTTTTTATTTTAAGATGATTGATTGGAATAAGCATTAGTTTAGACAGGCATACTTTACAATAGCCCTGGAATGTTTAAATAAAGCATGCGTATGTACAAGAAAATTTAGTATGTGCTTTTATCATGGCTTGGCTTCCTTAACTAGTATAAATCAAATTTTGACTGTAATACAAATACCTGAATGATTGAATAGGTTTAGAACACCTACTATTAGAAGATCTATATTGGGTACCACACCGAGAACTCCTACTCCTTTTAAGAATGCGCTTGCTGCTCAGGAGAAAAAATATGGACCTCTTAAAATTGTGGTATGTATACTCTTTTTTATCTTTAAGAATTTTCCTAATTTTAATAAAACACAAATTGTGATTTTTAACATCTTTTATTTTTAACATTTTAAAAAAAAGATGTTCCCTGAAACTTGTAAAATTTTTTCTCTTATAAGTTTAAATTTGTGTTAATCTTTTTTCCTTGACTTGTAAACAAATCTTGGCTTGGCTTGTTTTGAATTTTTACCTTCTTTATATCATCTAGAGAAAGGAAATCAACTATCAGTGGAATCCTTTTTTATACTACAGCGCACACTTTTGGTAGTTTCAGTACTGGTTTCCTGAAGTAGAATAAAATAATTTTAACATTTCGATATACATAAACACTTTCTTCTTTTTTTTTTTTTGAAATAAATGCCTTTTATGCATCAAATATAGAAAGCAAAAGGAAGCAACCCTGTGTACAACAGAATGAAACACTGCCCGATCCTGAGCCATCCTCACAATTGTTATGTTTGAGCCCATTGTTGCAGCCACTGTGTCAATCCATCTCATGGAGAGTCTTCCTCTTTTTCACTACCCGTCT